TTATTTTTTGATACTTTTGTCAAGGAAGTTGGGACAAAAGGCAAACACAATCACCTGACTGGGTCCCAACCCCTGTGACAACACTCAACAGCGGGGCACAGACTGAGAGAGAAATTATCCTTGATGTCTCCGATGATCATCGCTATGCGTTCCTTGGGGGTCAGGGGATGTGGAGACTTCTTGAGGAGGGCGTCCTGCTTGAAAATCTACCAAACCAGCGTCCTGTTCCTCCTCATCACCCTCTTTGCCTGTAGCTCAATAAAGTCCTTCGTCAAAAGTCGTCATCGAAACCGTTCAAGTGGGAGCTTGTTTCCACTCTTCCCACTCGTGGTGACGTTTTCCGTTTGTCTTCTGCCAGTTGGCTGCAAGGCCTGAGAATCAAGATGTAGCGTTCAGGAGCGTCAGTGCGGGGGTCCATAACGCTTTTGCTGCGATCCGTTCCTCTTCTTGGGTCCACTGCTTAGTGTCGTCCAACAGATCACTGCTCAATTTGGGGATCACATTCGCGGTGTTTGCCGTTGATGTAATTTGTACCGTTCTGGCTTTCGGCCAACTGTTGTAGCGTTGGAGTGAGTTGAGCGACAGTGTTGGCCAAACTTTGGATGTCCGTTGGTTTCAATTTTGGCGGTTACATCGGCGAGGCTTAGTGTAGTTGATGACGAGGAGAAAAGGTGTTGTGTACTTGCAGTTTCATAAAGTCATGGGACGTGTTGGTGAGTGTTCACGGGGTCGTTTGTCAAGTTTTCGATGTCCGGGCACCGAGTCCTTCTTGCAAGCAGGAGCTTGAAAAATTAGCGTTGCTGTCCGTCGTAACAGTTGTGGCGGTTCTGGCGGGAAAATGCGCTTGGGCGGGGGCTGGCGAAGATGCGACAAAGCAGAGCGTTCACGCACTTTGCAATAGCGACTTTCGTGATTTTGCGGGAAACGGGGTACTTCAGTGCTTCGTTGTTCAGGTTTCGTTGAGTTACTTTACGTTTTTCCGCAGTTTTTGCTGAATTATTTTGCGACGAACAAAGACTCGCTATGTCGGCTGTGCCATGTTAGATAAGACACTGATTTATTTTTCAAAATGTACGACAAGTGGCATTATAGGTAAATATTTGTACTGTGACACAATAGATGGCGACACTTGTCAAATTCACAGTTCTATAGGTAACACAGATTAGCTCCTGTAGTTATTTGGCCAAAGTCCGGTTATCTTTGCACTGCCCCTTTAAACCTTTGACGATAAAGCCTTTTCCCCAAGCGATGTTTACCTGTGGTCCTCCTGTTTTGTTTGCGAAGGAATAGTTTAAAGAAAGAGTCAATGCGCAGGTGTTTTCCTATCTTGCGGAAGCACCTACAGTGCTTGCAAGCTGTTTAGGCCTAGAAGCATCAAATTAAAATATTGAAGGCAAAAAGTGGTCATTTAGCTTTCATTTCAGTGGCTTCAGATTCCTAACTGGAGGTGCTTCACAGAACTTCTCTGTCTGATGATGAGCTCTCATCCTGTAAATCTAATTCCGAAAAGCATTGGCAGAAGGCTGGATCGGAAGAGTCAGTGCTCCCATTGACACTACCGCCAGAGCAGCCGGAGTGCAAAGTGAGCATCATGTGCACGGAACATCTAATCTGAAGACTATAAATAGCCCAGCAATGCTAAGCAATCTGCGAATATAATGCTTATAGTTCAGCAAAGACAACAAATAGCAACACCTCCCGCAGTGTGCGCAGTCTCGCGTTTAGGCGGGCACCTTCAAGTGTGCAATCACCGCCATACATGTACCGTGACACTGCCAAAGTGCTAACCAGTATTTCATGGCCAAAAGACAATCTTTCCTTTTGTTTGGTTTGAAAAGGGTGTGATCATTTATTTGTGGAGAAAAAAAATGCATAGTTGAGAGGAAAAAGGAATTCAAACATCTTGAGTGCTTTTTCTTTGCTGCAAAAACCACTGCAGGCGAACAAGAATACCTGTTCTATGCTCTGTTTACACGAGGAAGATTTTTTTTACGATCCCTGTAATTTATAATCTACTTTTGCCTGGTTGTGTCGATCCGTACGGTGCCATCGTCAGCCGCCTCGGTGGCTCCGAGGCGAGAGCGCTGGCCTACGGATCCCCATGTGGCGGGTTCAAATCCCGGCCGAGGTGCCCACAGTCTGACGGAGGCTTATTGCGGAGGAGGCGCCGTGTAACCGACCTTTCGGTTGCACGTCAAAAGATCCCCAGGTGGTCCAAATTAATCCTCAGTCCTCTGCTGGGGCGTGCCAGATGCCAGTCGTTGGTTTGGCATGTAAAACCCCCAAATTTGACTTTTTTTTGGTGCCATCGTCACTGCATATCATTATAATTTTTTCCCCAAAATCTGTCAAAAGGACTTGCCGTAACGTTATAAAGGATAGCCCGACCCCCACAGAATGTGAACCAGGGGGAGAAAGAGTGTGGGGCAATGTTTGTTGTGCAAACAAGAAAGCCAGAAAAAAGAAGAAAAAAAAATTGACTGATTATTGCTTGCTGATGCATACATAACATCAGCTGCCATAGATGACCAGACTGCCAGATTATTTCAATGGCAAAGGAAATCATTTGTTAATTCACTTGTTGTCTAAGCTGTCGGAGGAACACTTGTCCTAGCTTTCAACACTAACAGTGCCCATTCTTCCACACAAATTGTCTCGAGCCCGGGAAAGGCAATTTCTAGGAGGGGACTACTCTTTATTGTTTTCTTGATCAGTGGGTGCTGATCAAGCTACCTTTTGAAGATGGTTTGTGTTTAGAAAGGCTACAGAATATGGGCCTTACCATCTGCCCAGTGTGTGAAAGGCTTCGAAGGTTGTCAGCACCTGGTGGTGGTTTAGTGAAGTAGTGAGGAAAATACATGGTTCTATTGCTTACTTGATGTAGTGTGTGTTGGGTATGGTAGACCTGATAATACCCTATTTGCTTCTCAGATCCACTTTTAAGGTTGGGTCATTTGTAATTTCTTGAAGAAAAATCGGCATTGGTAGCCCCTTCATACACGTCTTTTGGATTCAGTGAATGCTGAAAAAACATGAGTAATATTAACATCGAAAGCTCCAGAGGTCGAGACAAAAGAAATTGCCAAAGTTGTTTTTTTCATTTTGCAAATTGACTCTTGCACACAAACTGTTAAAGGGTTACTTTGTGATAGCGAGTTCGTTTCACGGCACTCGTGCCCACGCGTGCCCACTCGTAGCGTGGAACGGGTTCGTTTCGGCCAGCTCTCCACGAGTGGTTGCGCTCTCCGAGTTCGTTTCAGCTCTGACACCCCACGCGTGCATGCACTCGCTGCACCGAGAAAATCGGGAGTGCACCAAAATGCAATCCCGTCATGCCTCGCTTAGGCGGGGCCGGCGAGGGGCGGAAGCAGACGACGAGGGTTTGCTGCTACGATGTGTCGCGGAACTGAACAGAAAAAAAAGCAGATTTTCTGATAGAAATCGCGTCCCGCAGGCAACGCAATCAAACGCGAGCTTGAATTGTGAGCGTCTGCTATTTCACGAAGGAAGCAGTTGACAACCCGTGATTTATTTGCAGGTTTTAAATTGCTCTGTTGCCGTTCAAACGCTGAAATATACCAGTGTGTAAAGAAATGCTCAGAACAAACGCAACAGCGGCCCCCAAGATGTCTATCACCATCCGTGTGCGGGTGAAAAATTTAACATTTGTCGATAAAACTCCCCCAGCAGAAACCTCTGACTGCCCAATAAGCATCAGAGAAAGCTTAAGATGGTGACTTTACCCGAGGATTGGGCAACATCATCACATTTAACATTTACCTACGCAGCTAACTTGCCCCGTCGTATTTTGTTTGAGAAAGCTCTCGTTCTCGATGCCCTCACCAAGGCTAATATCTAATCCACCTATAATGACGATCCAAATCGAAAGTCCCAGTTTTGCTGGATATTCCAACAGGCTAGTTTTAAGCCGTACCCTTTCAGTGGTGCACGCATAATACCATGCTCAAATGGATCAAGCTTCCGCTTGGACAGCATCATCAGTTTTCTTCAGTGTAAACGGTTATGAGGATTGAAAGATCGCAACCAGCTGCTTTGTAGACAGCTGGTTGCGGAAATTTACGCCATCTGTAACTATCTCTACGGCAGCCGAGCTGCTTGAAGACATTGCAAGTATAAACTACAGGTTGCAGTTGCCAACGTTTGTAGATAAACGTTGGTAGCGACTGCATTCTCGCATTCCCACGCATCACTCTGAACAGAAAGGCGCTAGTTTCGGTTTGAAGTCGGTACCTTTTCTACAACATAGATGGTGGCTGCATCAGTCTTCTGCACTCTGTGCATTTGGCGAGTTCGTTTGAGTCCAGTTTTCCGTGCAACACTCTGTGAGTGCGATGCATTCTGGGAGAGAACTCGAACGGTGCCAGTGCGTGTGAAATGAACTCGCTATGAGCTACTTTATGGTCACTACTCCTTATCAGTTATGACCGAATAGTCTTCTGGGTGTAAACGGGCGAAGAAAGTTGCCCATGACCAACCTGAAGTTTATGTCGGGGTTGTTTTATACTCAGTCAGTTTAGAAGAGATCAAATGTTGACCAACAAATGAAATTTGAGATAACATTTGCAAACTTGCCCTTGGACTCACTTTCTCAAAAGTGTCCAGAGACTCGACAGGTGTGTTCTCCGGTGCTCTCTAAAAGAAGAAACTTCTGTGTGTGTCAGATGTTGCACGCCACGTCCGCACCTGGTGCCAAGTCCGCACACAAAACATTCTTGTACGCAGCAAACCTTGGCAAATACCTGCCTTACTGGCTCACAAAGAAACCTGTATGATACATAAATCATCACTAACATACTTTGTCACTCTCAAAATCTCTCTCATCTTGTCACGATTAACAACCTTGAAAAACAAATCCTTGCATAGTCCACACCCATAGATAGTCTGCACCGCGTAACATTTAGACTTTTCAGCGTGTACATACAGTTCGCACACTATGGCCCGGAAAGTATGGTAACACCTTGCTTCACTTTTTGTGATAGTGCCAGCATGGTGGCAACTTCGGAAAACCCCAAGGGTGCCTCAGCGTCCACGAGCAACGAGGAGGGCAACACTGGGCCGAGCCAGGACGGAAACTTTGAGTGCAACATCTGCCTGGACACGGCCAAAGACGCCGTCGTGAGCCTTTGTGGGCACCTGTTCTGGTGAGCTGGGACCGGTTCTGCAGGCCATAACCTATTGGGCGGTTTCATGTGACATAGCCGTAACCTATGCGGAGTGCAGGTTTGTCGGCTTCTTTTGCAAGGGTTGTGGTGACGTCGGAACGCTGAGCTCTAATTGGCTCTGATTAAAGGATAGTGGGTAGACCCATAAGCAAGCTGCCTTGAGGTCAACCCATTATCCTTCAATCAAAGCCAATCAGACCTCGGCGTTCTGACGACACCAAAACCTTTGTAAGAGAAGCGGACAAACTAGCGCTCCGCATAGGGCAATTTTGCGTGACATAGCGTCAGGGTTCGTACAGCTCTTTGAAAACCTTGAGTACACGGGATTTCGTTAAAAGCAGTTTAAGGGTCCTTAAATATCCTTGTAAGTTGAAACGATCCTTGTTGTTGTGTCATCATGTCCGAATCTAATGTCATGTGTCGGTTAACTGTGACGTCACTCTTTAACCTATAGATAGCGCGGCTGCTATCAGTATAAAAGCAGCCATGAGTGTGCCTACGGGGTTGTTGTATTCTTGGCATCATCGAATAAACATGCAAGCTGCAGAACTGAGTACTTCCCTTGAGGCTAAAACAGTGGCGACGAGTATGAGATAGCCGAGAAGACAGAAGCCAGCACTGTCATCGGCAAAAACCCAAGCGCCTTGACCGAGGACCACGGGATGGCTTCGTGCGGCGGCCGGTTCGAGCAGTTCATAGAAGATGGGGAGGAAGACTTCGAGTCGTACGTCGAGCGGATGGAACACTATCTTCGAGCAACGAAGGTGAGCGACGACTTGAAAGTCTCGGTCTTCGTAACGGCCATCGGGAAGCAAGCGTACCGCACGTTGAAGACGCTGTTAACACCAGTGAAGCCAGAACAAAAGGACTATGCGCATCTGGTCGCGGTCCTCAGGGAGCATTACGCTCCGAAGCCGATGGTAATCGCCGAGCGATTCAGATTCAACCGGAGGGCCCAGCTCGAGAAGGAAACGGTGGCGACATACACGGTTGAGTTAAAAAGGCTCGCGGCCACCTGCGAGTTCGGGCAGTTCCTGGATGAAGCACTCCGGGACCGTTTTGTCGCGGGGCTAAAGGACCAGGCAGCCCAAGCAGAGCTTCTAAAAAAGAAAACTCTAACTTTTTCGGCGGCATGCGACATTGCCAGAAGCATTGAACTCGCACGAGCAGAGACCAAGATATTTCAGCCAGCAGCCTCTGAACAACTAGAGGTGAACGCCGTCCAACGTCTAGGCCCAAACAGGAACGTCGGAGCGGCTACCAGGAAGGCGACGATGGAAGTCAACACTGAGAGGCCCGAGGCGTCAGGCTGTTTCCGCTGCGGAGCACCCCATCACGAGTCAAGTTGCCCGTTTCGGAAGTACAAGTGCCGAGCGTGTAGACGAGTGGGACACTTGGCAAGGGCCTGCAAAGCAACGTCCCGTTTGGTGCAAGCCGTGGACGACAGTAGTGGTGAGGAAAAAGTTTGGCTGTACAACATTGGCTCCTGCAGTGCTAGAAAAGGGGGTTACACTACTGAAGTTCGAGTGGCGGGAACAATGGTGACAATGCAAGTTGATACGGGAGCCTCGGTTTCCATTGTGCCTGAAGAGGTGTATAAGCAGTACTGGCCTGGATTGTCTCTCTCAAACTGCCGCCTAAAGTTGAAAACTTATGGGGGCGTGCCTTTGGAGGTATTAGGCAAGTTGATTGTACCTGTGGAGCACAATGGGCAGACCATGACGTTGTCGCTTGTAGTGGTTCGCACGCCGCAGAAATGCGAGACTGTGTTAATGGGCCGCGATTGGCTAGAAGCGTTGAGGCTAGACTGGATGAGCGTGTATGGGGTTAGTCTAGACCAAGTGGCAGGGCTGGTTCACCGATTCTCGGAGGTGTTTGAGCCTGAGCTGGGATTAATCGCGGGCAGTCAAGTTAAATTAGTATTGAAGGACGACACGACCCCAGTCTTTTGTAAACATAGAACTGTACCATTCGCTTTAAGGGAGTCAGTAGAACAAGAGTTGCATGCGCTCGTGAAAACGGGAGTCCTGGTCCCTGTTCAGCAGAGTGAGTGGGCAACACCGTTGGTCGTTGTCCCTAAGCCGAACAACAAAGTGAGGTTGTGCGGCGACTATAAAGTGACGCTGAACCCGAATCTCAGAACAGACCACTATCCCTTGCCGGTAATGGAAGACGTGTTTGCAACGCTACACGGGTGCAAATATTTCACGGTACTTGATCTTTCTACAGCGTACCAGCAGCTGCAACTGCACCCGGATTCGCAGTCTCTTGTAACTGTAAACACGCATATGGGCTTGTTTAAGTATACACGCCTTCCATACGGCATCACGAGTGCACCGTCTATTTTTCAGGCTGTAATGGACGAAATATTGAAGGGCCTTGACAGAGTATCATGCTATCTTGATGATGTGTTGATAGCCGGAGAAACTTCGGAAGAATGTTATCGAAAAGTGGAAAGCGTGCTGACAAGGTTCAAGGAGCGCGGTATCAAAGTAAAAAAAGAAAAATGCAAGTTTCTTCAGACGTCGGTGGCTTACTTGGGCCACGTAATTGATAAACATGGGATTCGGCCTTCCGAGGAAAACCTACGCGCAATCAAAGAGGCGCCAAAACCCCAGAACAAACAAGAGCTGCGAGCGTACCTGGGGCTGCTAAATTTCTACGGGAAATTTGTTCCGAACATGTCAGCAGAGCTGAAGCCACTTCACCAGTTACTAAGTGACAGCACCAGTTGGGATTGGACCGTAGTGGAGGAAAAAGTGTTTCAAGAAACAAAACGGTGGCTAACGCACGAACGAGTGTTGACTTACTACGATCCCGAAAAGGACCTCGGTCTTGTATGTGACGCGTCGGCATACGGCGTCGGCGCGATACTCTTTCATAAAGTTGGTACTGAGGAGAGGCCCATCGCTTTCGCGTCTAGGACGCTCTGCAAGGCGGAGCAAGGCTACGCGCACATTGAAAAAGAGGCGCTTGCAGTGGTTTTTGGTTTAAAAAAATTTCACAAGTTCCTCTTCGGCCGAAAATTTTGCATCTACTCTGACCATCAACCACTGGTGGGAATTCTGGGACATGGTAAGCCGATTCCTGCAATGTCAGCAGCACGCGTGCAGCGCTGGGCTTTGCTGCTTGCCGCTTATAACTATGTTTGGGTGTATCGAAAATCCAGTGATATAGGAAATGCCGACGCGCTTTCACGGCTACCGCTGCCAAACAAAGATGAGTCAGAGTGCGTGCAGTTCTTTTCGGCGCTAGACGAAGCTCCACTATCTGCAAAAGAGATAAGACGGGAAACGCGAAGGGATCAGTTGTTGTCGAAAGTGCTGTTCTACACACAAAACGGCTGGCCTTCGAAAGTTACAGACGATTTGCTAGCGCCTTACTATGTTCGACGTAACGAACTGTCAGTCGATCAAGATTGTGTAACTTGGGGTAATCGCGTAGTGGTTCCGTTGTCACTCAGAAGTAGCGTCTTGACGATGCTGCACGAAGGTCATCCGGGGATGACGCGAATGAAAATGTTGTCCAGGTGCCACGTTTGGTGGCCTCGTCTAACACAAGATGTAGAGCAAACAGTGAAACAGTGCGTCACGTGTCAGCTGTCGCAAAATGCTGCGCCCAAGGTACCCTTGTTGTCGTGGGGTTGGCCTAAGCGTAGATGGGAGAGAGTGCATATAGACTATGCGTATCGCGATCAGCAATGGTTTCTTGTGCTGGTGGACGCCCATTCTAAATGGATTGAAGTGTTTGTGATGAACAGTACTAGTAGTGAGAAGACCGTGGAAAAACTGCGCAGTGTGTTTGCGGCATACGGGCTACCGGAAGAGGTAGTGACCGATAATGGGCCTCAATTCACATCAGCAGATTTCGAACTCTTTTTGAGTAGGAATGGCGTCCTACACAGCAAGTCTCCGCCCTACCATCCCGCCTCCAATGGCAGCGCGGAACGCTGCGTACAAACCGTGAAAAAGGCTTTGTTTAAACAAGTGCTGGACGAGCAGAGAAGCGGCCATGCGAAGTCTCTGCAACATCGCGTCGATCAGTTCCTATTTAGTTACAGGAACACACCCACCGGGACAACCGATGAAACTCCGGCCCAGCTGTTCCTGTCCTGGAGGCCCAGAACAAGACTGAGTCTGCTGCACCCCGACATAGAGCAACGAATGAAAAAGAGACTCGAGCGAACCAAAGAATACGCAGACCAGCACCGGGGGCCCTGGAGAGAGTTCACTGAGGGTGACCAAGTTATAATAAAAGGCTTACGGGCCGGAGATTCCAAATGGCTGACGGGCACAATAAGCAAGCGTGTGAGCCCAGCTACGTATCTGGTTTGGGTTGGGGGGGAAGAGCGGTACATTCATGCTGACAACCTGCGGCCAAGATCATTTCAGGCTGACCTGAGGACACCTAACCGACTGGAGCAGTTTTCGGACATCGAGACCGATACGGCTACAACTGACAATGAATCACCTGACGACCATGACCCGGCACAAGCAGAGAACGGAGCCGCGACACCACGGGCACCTGACCCAGGCCGCAGCATGCCCAGTGCTGTGACTGTTGGTCCCAATGCCCCACCATCGGACAACCGGGCCTCCAGACTGGAAGCTCCGCCGGCTTCTCCACTCTTGCCTCGGCGCAGCACACGGCCAAGCCGACCCCCAGAGCGCTACAAGCCGTAGACTCCACAAACTTTCTAAAGGGGAAGGAATGTTGTGTCATCATGTCCGAATCTAATGTCATGTGTCGGTTAACTGTGACGTCACTCTTTAACCTATAGATAGCGCGGCTGCTATCAGTATAAAAGCAGCCATGAGTGTGCCTACGGGGTTGTTGTATTCTTGGCATCATCGAATAAACATGCAAGCTGCAGAACTGAGTACTTCCCTTGAGGCTAAAACACTTGTATTCCTTGAAAATCTTCCAACAAATGCCTAAATGGGGCCGCGTCGTCTGGCAATATGGCGTGTCGTTTGTTCTAAAGGATAAAGCCAATGCAATCCAAGGCGGGACGCCTTGGATTGCATTGGCTTTATCCTTCGCCATTTTTGTTATTTTTGCTTTGTGTTGAGTGTTAAGGATCGTGTTGGTGAGCGTGAGACACTTTCAGTCGGGACTGAAAGCCGAAATGCCGGGTGGAAAGTGCAAGTTCCAGCCTTCTGGGCTGGAACACAAAGACCAGATGAGTGGGTGAGACCAGATACGAATGACTCCTTCCAAGCAAAGTGTGCGATCTGTTGAAAGTCGATTGATGTCGCCACAATGGGTGAAAGCGCTTTGAAGAGTCATTTGAGCCGAGTCAGCTGCTTCCAGCTCATCTATCACCTCTTATCTACCAGCATCGGACTTGGCACCAGATACGCCCAGGCACCAGCTTGCAAATGCAAGAACCTCACAGGCACCCTTGACACGGATATTGGAAGCACGAAATGGTTGTTGAAGCCAAGATTCTGTGGACAATGAAGGCTGCGTCTTCTCACTACTCCTGCAACTCCTGTAGGCACCTTGGCAACGTTTTCCAAAGAATGTTTCCCAATAGCGAAATTGCGGAAAGCTTCAGCTGCAGCGAAAAGAAGTGTTCTTACATAACATGCCACGGACTGCTGCCATTTTTTTGCTTTACAAGTGCAGGACCAGATTCAAAAATCTGAACACTTTGTGGTGCTCTTCGACAAAACATTGAACGAGTACTTTCAGAAAAAGCAGCTGGACCTTCATGTGCGGCTTTGGAACGGCGGTGAAGTGAAAATACTTTACGTCATCACTTCTGGGTCATAGCACAGCAGCTGACCTTTTTGAGAAGTTGGCAGAGGGCCTCGTGTCTCTTCTGTTGAACAAGGTCACGCAGCTTTCAATGGATGGCCCCAATGTGAATGGGAAACTTTTTCATGACTTCCAGCAGCACTTTCAGCAGGAACAACTTTCAAGTACACTGTTTGGATGTCGGATCGTGTGGGCTGCACACTGTGCAGAACGCATACAAAACAGGGCTGCAAGCTACAAACTGGCATGTTGACAGCTTTCTATCGAGCTTGTACTCGCTGTTCTATGATGCACCAGCCTGCCGAGAAAATCTCGTTGCGGAGACAGAACACTTTGTGTTTCCCCGTCTGTTTGTTCCCCACCGTTGGGTGGAGAACGTACATGTCCTTGAGAGGGCCCTGTCATTGTGGAAGCACCTGGAAAAGTACATGGAAAAGAGTGTTCATGGAAGTGTTTTTTGATCACCCTAGCTACAAGCATCACCAAGCTGCTACAAATTGATCCCAAGGGTCCTGGCAGCTACGCACAACTGGAAAAACTGGACGTTGGTCGTGCAGCAGAGAAAATACTAAAAAGCAGCAAGGCGAGCCCTAAATGCATCCTTGAGTTTAGATTTGAGCATCACAAGTTTCTGGTTGAAATGACATTGAAGCTTCTTGAAAAAAGTCCTCTCAAGTACCCAATTGTTCGAGGGCTGTCCTGTTTTAATCCCAGAGAAATGTCGAAAACAGAAAAATGCCTCGGGAAGCTCAGAGTTGTTTTGAATTGCCTTATCAATGCAAACCTTCTTTTTGAGCGCATAGAGACATGGTTTGTGGGCAGTGTGTCAATTTTTGTCACGAGTTCCGACATGAACTGCAAGGCTACAAAAGAAGCCAAGAGCTTATTGATAAGTTTTTTTTTTTGCGCCTGACGAAGTACAACACTTCCTTTTCCACACTGTGGAAGTACTAAGGCTGTTCCTTCTGCTCAGTCATGGCCAGACTTCTATCGAAAGGGGTTTTAGTGTTAACAAGCAGATGTTTCTCAGCAAATTATCTGCTACACTATCAGAAACCACGGTGGCCTGCTCAGCATTCCACTATTGAAGGAGTTAAAGTCCTCTGTACTCCTAGCAAGGCAGAAGTATGCTGCATACTTCGAAGAGCACAAGAGAAAAAGCTGCCAGTGAGCAGAAAATTTTAAAGAGAAAAGCAGTTGAAATGGAGCTGGAGGATTGCTTCTTGAGGAAGTCGGCGGATTGCTTCTCAGAAGATGCTGAGGCGAAGAATGCAGAAGTGGAACGGCTGCGCCATTTGCGCCATTTTGCGCCAGACGCATGTGTCTGCGCCATCCTGCGCCATGTTGCAGAAACTGCGCCACAGCCAATACCTCGCGCCATTATGCGCCAAATCGCAAAACGTGCGCCAAAAAACTTTTTATTTCGTCTTAGTTTCGGTTTCTATCGTCTCGATTGACAACAATGAGGGCGTTTAGCCTGGTCGGCCTTGCAATCCTTTGTTGTGTTTATTCCCCCTGTCTATCCCGAGTCGGAAGCGCGCGAAAACAAACTCGGATTCTAAGTGCTACACCACCTGCGACTGGATTGTTATTATTCAACCATAAGCGGTAGGGCAAGTCGGCCGAGGTGAGGTCGAGTCGTTAAGCATCAGATTGCATGAGGCTCTGCGGCCCGGGATCCGGACGTCATCCAGTCGAAAGGAAATGAGCAAAAGATTCCTTTTAGTACTTCATCCTTAGGAGTTGGAACCGCATTCTCGCAAGATAAATCGTGATTTGATAGGACTGAAACGCGGTCCGATCCGAAACCTCTCCGGCCAGCAGCTCTTACCTTGCCGGCCAGCAGCTCTACTTATCTGCTCGGCATACTTTAACCTTGCTCCTGCTTATCGCTTCAAATACGATAACTTCGTTAATCGTAGCCTGCTGCTTCGATATCGAGTTGCACAATAGGATAAGCTCGAAATTTGTTGCCCTGCTCCTCCGTGCAACTGCATGTCCGTTGTTTACGCTCGTCACGTGGTTCGCACATATAATTACTATGTCAATCACGTGCGGGTTGTGCGATGAGTAGTGCTGGTTTGCATTTTGAGCAGCCGAAAGCCACTAAGAAAATATTAAGGACGCTATCTTCAGAAACATCAGGTACTAACTTTTTGATTCTCATTAAGGCTCACAAAGTTTCAAGTTTTCGCATCTATTACACTGTTATCCCATCTGCCTGGGTCCCTAACCACTGATGTTCATCTCTGCTCCTAAGCAAAATTGAAATTGTTCCCGTGCTTGTCTAAGACACAAGCTGAAGTGCAATGCAAACTGATCTGAGCTGCTCCTAGCCTGCTCCAGAATGTAGTTTTAGCTGCTCCCAACCTGCTCTAAAACGGCTGTTTCAGCTGCTCTCGTGGCTGCTCCCGAGTACATTTCATGAGTTCCACCCCTGAGAATGTCTTGACACTTTTGGCCAAGGCTATCAGTTTTCGCCGACTAGCAAAAGAAACGGAAGTAGCTATAGCTGCTGTAGAACGAGAAATTCTTGCCCAAAAGGAGCTTATTTCTTAATTCCTGTCAATGAATAAATTTCTTTGAACCTTCCTTGAATTTTGTCTTCTGATGCCCTTGAAATTCTTGAAAAGTCTGAATTTTGCATCAAAAATTCTGTACGTGTCCTGTAGTTCCAACTCGAAATCTCGCCAGACGCAGCGTCGACAAACTTTCACCCCATGTTCTTCCGTGGCGGAGGCGGTGTTTTCCAGATCGCTTTAGTCCTTTTTCGTCGTGGTCGACGGTGTCCGACACAAAGGGATCATCGTCTGGTACTCGATTTTTGTATGAACCTGTCTTTATTCAAACGTTGAATGAGGCGGCGCTCGAGAAGTCGACCCGTCGGCAGCTAAAATGGCCCTGGTTGATATGCTGCCGGGGCTACCCCCAGAGGAAAAAAAAAATCTGAGTAAGCTACGCACAAGCAAGGGAAGTGTGTAGCTAAAATATGTCACCCGGGCCTTCATTGCATTAAATCGACAAACCTGCTCTGGTAAGAAAGCTGCCGACTTCACCTGCGTGTTGCGTAAGGATGCTACCGGCTTTCTCCGGACCGGAGGTCTTTAGGTGAAAAAGAAAAAGAAGTTTGAAATGTTTCACGTCATTTGGCTTTCTACCTGCCAGGTCGACTGGTTCAACATACTTCTTTGCAACATTTGAGCGTTTTGAACTTTTTGCTGCATTTGCTGTGTTTTGGATTTTTTGTGAGCATTTGAACCTGGCCAACTCCAACCTCTGAGAGGCTCGTAACTTTCCAAGCGGCCAAGGTCGAACCTCTAAAATCTTGGGAATTTTCCAAACCCTATCGTATCCAAACTTTGCAAGGTTTACAATGTGTCTGGTGTAAAAATGTGCACATACCTTAACGCCACGGCATACTTGAATTTGATGAATTAAAAGGGGCCTCAAATGATTTTCGGACTGGTTTGGACTTTATGCCGAGATGGAGCTCATCGAACATAGGAACACGGAGGAAAATATTTTTTTTCTGGAAATGTGATCTATTTATAGAGTTACGAGCAAATTAGGGTCACGAAAACAAGCAAAACACTTTAGCTCTGTGATGTATCATGGTCAGTTCATTGAGTTATGGAGCAAAGCGGCTGGCCGATTGGCTGCGGGTCAGGTTCATGGCTGCCGCACCAAGGCCGTGCACACATTGTCGCCATATCTCCTTTCTTCGTCGTAGGTTCCACTATGCCGCGCCCTGCTGGTCCCTCTGCGCTGAAAAAAGCCCGACCACACAGCCCAGCGCGGTCTAGTGCCTCTGTTCCACATTTTTTCCTCAGCTGTGCGGGGGTTAGCTGCGCTGTGACAGGTTCAAGAAAGAAGAAAATGATGGGGATAACGAGTTCAAATAAGCATTTATTTTCTCCCAGATGTAACACAAATGTTGGCAAAAAAAGATCACAGTACCGTGCCCGTTAAAATCGCTTGGCACAAATCCGCCGGCCGGCTTTTGTTTGCACGAGTCAACACTTAGCATTTCTTGTTTTGAGCGGGAACGGCAGCCAACATGTACGACTAGCACATGATCATTCGTAACTTATACATGAGGTCGTCCGGAATTTTATTCCACTCTACCTTTGGCACGTTATCCAGCTTCAAACTTTAGGCCTACGAGGCTTCTCGAGGTAATGCCGATAGCATGCGCGGACTTGCCCAATCCAGCGCACTGATGTGGAAACCAACACAAAAAAAAAGAAGCACTAGCTAGAATATCATGCTCTAATATTTTGTGGCTCCTACTTTTCCTCTAAAGGGACTGTGCAGCGACATTGGGTATGAATATTTCTTACTTTACACCAGCTTCCTGGCACTAGTGGGACCCAAGAATGCTCGAACGCAACACCACTGACCAAGAAGCGTCTTCGTCGTGGCGGAATTCAAAGGATGAAAGCGGAACTTTTCTTTCAGTCTCTCCTTCCAAAGCCGCCTTTTGCCCCTTCACGAAATTTGATGATGGAGCTATGGGGACAATGGCAACAGTACGATCCCCGGGAATGCGTCGTCGAGCTTTGCGGTTACGATATTCAAATGCTGCTCACACAGTGGACGCGAAGACTGCGTACGCATTCAATCTGGGCTCGTGACAATCGATGCCTCGACATGCATTCGGGTAGTGGCTCGTGTCCAATCGCTGCAGCGATGACTATAGCCGAGCCATAACAATGTCTGACTCAGCGCGTGTCCTGTGCTTCGCCAACCCCAGCGCGTGGCTATGATCAACATTGGCGGCATATAATCGGCTCCAGATCACGTGGCTGCTTGTTCTGGCTGCGAGTTGAGGGGGTGAACGGTGCTGGTTTTTCTTTAATTTTTTCTTGAACTTCTATTGCGTGGGGTGAAAAACGAATGCGTGTTTCATTGGTCATTAACGTCAGGGGTCCGTTTTAAGTGGTATTTGCGCAAAGTACAAAAATTGTTGCATCGCCCCTTAAGTAGCCCGACCCACTAATGAGGTAATATAAAAATATGCAGAAGCTTGAATATTGTTAAAGGGCCTCTTTAAGAAGGCTGCTTGGGCACATCTACCACACATTCTCTCAGCTGGATTGACTTGCATGGAACACATAAGCAGCAGATTAAAGGAACTGCTGGTGAAAGTATAGACCGACACTCTGTTTACAAACAAGCCGGCGTTTGCCCACACCAGGTGTGGGCACTGTGCGTGCACAGAAACCGAATTCGTGTGAAGCGTTGCGTCTGTGCATGGGGGGCACTGTGCCGTCGACAGCGCCACCGCAGCTGCGTGACGTCAGGTCCGCGTGTTTTGTTTAAAGTTTTGTTTAAAAGCATTGTTGAGCTGCTATCACCTTCTTATTGTGACCGAGAGTTCGTAGGAAAGAGAAGGTAAGAGAGAGAGAGAGAGATCACACAGAAGAGAAACAATTCTTCACTGCTACAAATAGCAGTGAAGAAGTCAGGCAAGCTCTTGAACTTTCAACATAGCATAAACATGAGACCAGGAGACATCACATCACAAAACAAGTACCCAAAGGCTTCTGCCATGCTTTCTCCCACCCAATAGATGCTCATCCCCTCTTCATGGCTGGCTGCCTGTAGTCAAAAAAAACTATAGCAATTTCGTATTTGAAAAAAAAAAAAAAAAAAAAAAAAAAAAAAAACACTCAAAATCTTTATTTGGCCACCAGGATCACGAATACCAAAATTATATTTCAGGTTGATGCGCCAAGTAGCCACAACAGCGCTTTCAAAAGAGCATCAGGGCCCCTCCTTCCCAGTGCGCTCAGCAAGAGGAAGGATTCTTGACATATTATTACACAGAGATCTCAACATTCCCCTGCCTTCTGCAAGCATTACCCGAGCAGTCAAAGACGCGGTTGCAGTTCGCCTTTTACGGCGTTGGCTGTACTGGGCCTGTTGTATCGGGCAAGTGTTGTTTTGCCGAAAACGAACGGAGCATGCGCGCGTTTATCATGGGTGGCTTTGGCGCCAGGAGAGGGTGAGTACAGCAGGGATACCCTCGCCCTTTCATCGATAACAGTTGCGGTCGACTGTTATTGACTGCACGTTTGGCCAATCGCTATTGCCTTGGGGTCACAGGATTGCGCTCCTCGTTACCTGCACTTTCTCGCCTTCAGTGGCCCGTTCCCTCGGCGCCCTAAGCCTTTGCGCACTAGAATGGGGCAGCCAAAGTGTACGCCGAAGCAAGCAGCAGCTGCTTGACGGTGGAAATGTGCCTGTGAGAGAGAACGTCGTCGATGTGTAGGCGCCGACGGTCCCATCCTGGGCGTTAGGATGAAACTCATTCGGGGTCAGGATCATGCTGTGCATGAATGTGAATTGGCACGTAGAAGAGAACGTTATTGAGCGAAGAATGGACATGTCGGTGCGACCGATCAATTTGTGCAGCATGCCCATGAGAATGTGTGTGGTGCTAGCTGTTTGTGTGTGGGGTCGGTTGTGGTTCACGCGAGACACTGTGCAACGCAACATCCTAGAAATTTTCAGTCAGTCACTTTGCAATGTCGTCGAAATGTTGCAGTTGTTGGCTCGCGTTTTTGTTTGTGTAGTTAGTGCATCCCTGCACTTGTTTTCACAGTAGCCTACGGGTGCGGTGTAGTGTCTAAGGCCTTGACTAAGTCTCACGGTGGTGGCTTTGCCACGTCGTCCTTGCGTACAGCGAGGCATGCGAGCGCTTACTCACCTTGAACGCTTATCAGCCTACACATGTGCACTCTTTGCTTCTTCGTAAGTGCCGCAGAAACTTTAGGTGGAAGGGCAATCCGGCTGGCATCCCAGATGTAAAATGCCCGTGCGGTGCCTGCACGAGGGCGACTCTCACGCTAAATGCCGCATGCATTCTTCGACGGGCGGTACGCGGGAGGTAGTTGAAACCTCCGGGTACGTCACATCCACTGGGTGGTTGTTTGGTTTTTCTCGCGTCTAGCTAGATGTTTTGGGTCAAATGCTCGCAGTGTTTGAATTCGTGGGGCCAAAATGCTTAACAATTCGCCTCTAGCTCGTATTTTTTTTTTTAGAGAACCTCTTCGGCTATTTTTTAAGACTGCTCGAGAGCCACTCGTGTATGTTCTTGTCGTAAGCCGGCTCACTAAAACTTGCAAACACGCGAAGACTGCTCTCGCTTATTGCTTCACACGAGCCGCCCCGTACGCTGGCCGTCCTTGAAAACTGGCTTGTCTGCAGTGCTCTGTTAGGCGTCTAACTCAGGGTTTTGCCTTCGCGGTCTCTCTCCAGTTGGCCCTGCCTGCATCAGTGGCTGGAGACGAGGCCCAACCGGCAGGTATGCCCTGTCTGCAAGGCCGGCATCAGCAGGGACAAGGTGATCCCCCTGTACGGCAGGGGAGGCTCCAAGCAGGACCCCAGGTGAGGGGCGGGTGCTTTGCCCTACCCTATCCAATTGCCTGCCTTTTGCCCGAGTACGTATGTGGTGCAACTCTTTATAGTCATTGGAAAGATGAGAAAGGCAGAGCGTTTCTTTCAAGGGCCCGGCTTCTGGCACACGCTCGTTGCCTTTTGCCGCGATTTGGCCGTGCATTCTAGAAGGTGGAAGCTCGCACTGGAGGTGGGACAACTAAGGGACCTCCCTGCCGTTATCATCTTTCGATTTATGAAAGTGTAAGAACTGTACGCAGGACGTTTGTTTATGAGCTTATTACATGGACTCCTTTTTTTGAAAACGGCCTCGTAGGTAAACGTTTGTTGATGCCGTCAAGTGTTTCATGGTGCTTCCGTTTACGCAGGGACAAATTGCCGCCAAGACCGCCCGGACAGAGATCTGACCCTGAGAGTCATCCTGGGGTAAGTGCAAATGCCAGTCTTTTTATGGATTTCATTTAAACAAGCTTTACCAATGCTGTTGTGCGACCCTTTGCCCACAGATTCGGGCTTTGGTGCTGGTGCTTGTTTCAGTAAGGTTAGCAGCATCCCAATTTCTGAGATGTCCGCTTTGTTTGATTTGCTCATTTGTCATATCCTTCAACAAATGCTTGTGTCGTCGGTCCCTCGGAAGTCTTCTCACTGAATTGCCATTGCAAGGTGGCAGCGGTTTGTTGGGGATATTTTGAGGAACCATCGAGCATGCAATCGGGGAGTACAGGATAGATTTGTAAGCCTAGATTTCAAGAAGCTTTCTAGTTTCAGATTTATAATTCTGTTTGCTTTTAAGTCACTGCGACACCAAATTAAAGACAAGCTATGTGGTCTCGCTGTAGAAGTACCACATTTTTCAGTCTACCAGTCACACTTTTGTATACGGTACTTACTCGCATAATGAGCACACTTTTTTTTCCCAAAAATTGACACATATTTGGGGAGTGTGTTCATTACGAGGGGTAAATTTTTGCATACTTCGTGCAAATGTCATATTAGGTGCCAATGTGACATGGCAAGGTACTGTGGCATGTCTTCGCTGATGGAGATGTACCCACGGCTGTTCGAGGGTGTGCCACACCGCAGTAACCATGCTTTATAAATTGCGAACCTTTTTAGGGCGCTTTCGGCATGCCTTTTGCCTAAGGAAAAGCGCCCTACACGAAGCTCACTCAGCACGGAGAGCAACATGATCGTTCTTAGGCCTAACCACTTTCATGATTTCACTCTGCGAAAGCGGACCACAGGTGACGGCGTATTTATTGACATCAATGTATCCGATAGTCGGAGAATGTCCGGGGCTGGGCAATTCCTCGACCCAAGCTTCGTCAAATGTATGCATCGCTCGGTTTCACGGTTGATCACTTCCACAACTACATACTTGCAGCCATTACGAGAGCGGCTTGGCTTGACTTGGTCTGACTGCTTGGTGGCAAAAGAAAATTGACTTGGTGGACTTGGTGGCTAGCTAAGTTGGATGCAATTCGATACTCGCGGAGCCGAAAACTGGAGGTGCTTTCAATATGCAAGGGGGAAAAAAAAGTCCAAATATTAATACCTGTTATGGGGGGTGCGTTCATTATGCGAGTTAGTAGGGTAAGTTACACCCCCCATAAATGAAGAGGCAAACAGCGCCAAAAGTATGGGGGACAAAGAACGAGGAACACACAGACCGAGCGCTGACTGACAACTGGTTTATTTCTGGAAAACCACCTACCGACATAAAAACACAGACAAACAAGGTTTTTCAGAAATAAACCAGTTGTCAGTCAGCGCTCGGTCTGTGTGTTCCTCGTTTTTTGTCCTCCATACTTTTGGCGCTGTTTTCCTCTTCGTAACTATGCATAACCAACTCGCCCAATTTTCAACGGAGCCTCCCTATAAATGACTGTTTTCAGAAAAAAGCGGGTATATAAGTCAGGTATAGAGGTCACATCTTTGTGTAAGCCATACCTATATATCTGCATTGTCGGCATGGTGAAAATGCATTGAAAATTCCCAAATTTCAATATTTTCATCCACGAATCGAATGAGAAATATAACCCGTGTGGCAAACTTCTGTAGTGAAGGTCCATACTTGGTAGAAAAAGATTGATACAAGTCGCATCTTTGTATAAAACGCACTGACGTAAGTTAAAAACGCACTGACGTGAGGAAAAAATTAAAGCAACTTGTACGTTGGGAAAACACAGTGCTTGCAACCAAAGCACAATCTAAAGCAAGCCCTTTTTCTTGTTCTGCCAACTTTCTTTATGTTATCGAGAAATATAAAAAAAAACAAGCTAATGACCATGTCATATAATCTCCGGGTCCCTTCCATTGCTTACTACATTTCTTAGCTGTATTTAAAGTTTTGTACAGTACTCGCCATGTTTTCAGGTGTACTTGAACAGAGAAATTTACGCCTGTCAAATCAAGAAATGTGCATGTGGCCTGCTGTCATTATATTAATTTGGTGCTACAGCCGTCGCTATGTGATGGTAGAATTTTATGTTTGCTGTGTTTGTCCCCTCTTTCAACCGAACATAGGTACCTTTGGGTTCTCCTCCTTTTTGAACTAATGACACCATACCTTTCATGCACGTTGATTGTTTTTGAGAGAGGCCACAGGATCAATAGTGGCCACCAGGTTGTGCGAGGTTTTCGGTTTTTGAGAAGACTCATCTTCGAAGCAGGATTTCACAAGTCAAAAATATTAACTTACAAAATAACCTAGATCTATCGGAATGACATCCCTACTAAACACAATGCATTACCCCTAAAAAATGTTAAGAAAAAAAAATGAAAGCCGCTTACAACTCCCTGTAACGCCGAATTAGAGCGCAGCTCTTGAGGAGGAGGAGGGAAGGGCACGGGGGGGGGGGTAAACTAACCAGGGGGGGGGTCACGTGACCTTGGGGGTCACGTGACCCCCAATGCCGATGATGTCATCACTGACGTCACTGATGACGTCATCCGTGACGATGACGTCATCCGTGACGATGACGATGCGGGTACCGATGACGTCATTAGTGACGTCACTGATGGCTTCACCAGTGATGATGACGGTGACGATGCGAATGTCGGTGACGTCATCAGTGACGTCGCTGATGACGTCATCAGTGATGATGACGATGACGATGCGGATGCCGGTGACGACATCAGTGACGTCACTGATGACGTCATCAGTGATGATGACGATGACGATGCGGATGCCGGTGACGTCGTCAGTGATGACGATGGCGATGTGGATGCCGGTGACGTCATCAGTGATGATGACGATGACAATGTGGATGCCGGTGACGTCATCAGTGATGATGACGATGACGATGTGGATGCCGGTGACATCAGTGATGATGACGATGACGATGGGGATGCCGGTTACGTCATCAGTGATGATGACGATGACGATGCGGATGCCGGTGACGTCATCAGTGATGATGACGATGACGATGTGGATGCCGGTGACGTCATCAGTGATGATGACGATGACGATGTGGATGCCGGTGACGTCATCAGTGATGATGACGATGACGATGGGGATGCCGGTGACGTCATCAGTGATGATGACGATGACGATGTGGATGCCGGTGACGTCATCAGTAATGATGACGATGACGATGCGGATGCCGGTGACGTCATCAGTGATGATGACGATGACGATGTGGATGCCGGTGACGTCATCAGTGATGATGACGATGACGATGTGGATGCTGGTGACGTCATCAGTGATGATGACGATGAGGATGCCGGTGACGTCATCAGTGACGATGACGTCATCGGGGGGTCACGCGACATCGGCGGGGGTCACGTGACCTCGGGGGGTCACGTGACCTCGAGGAGGGGGTCACGTGACCTTGAGGAGGGGGTCACGTGACCTCAGGGGAGTCACGTGACCTCGGGGGGTCACGTGACCCCCCACGAGGTCACGTGACCCCGGTGGGGGGGCTCGCGCGGTGCATTATGGGACATTTCCCATGATGCACCGCGCGGTTACGCCGACGGCGACGGCGACGCCGACGGCGACGGCGACGGCGACGGCGACGCCGCTCAAGCCGGAAACGGGCCCCTAAGAGCTGCGCTCTAAAAAAACCTGCCTGTGAAAAAAAACGGACTTGCAAGTAATGCAGGACATAAGTAAAACAAACCCGGATGTTGCTTAAAGTCGTAGCTTCAGTGAAGTGAAAGGGGCAGGCCGCTTTGTAGCCAGTCGTTTCTTCTTCAGCAGCCTCGGAATTAATGAGTAACTTCAGCTTCTTTTGAAGGAGTGCCATACGAATGCACAAGACAAGTAAGTGGAAGCATTGCACTTGAGCAAGGCTACCCTTTTATCCCATCACTGTACTGAAAGGCCTACCATAGTTGGCCTATAGGTATGTTGTTGAGCTTGATAGAAATAAGTGTTAGTAAAGCATATGAGCTCAAGCTGGCAGCTCTGAAAAAGACATTCTGCTGCATGTGCTTGTGTAATGCACCTTATGCACCTTTAAATTCTAGTCGCTTAGCCAAAGTTGCAGGCATGCACTTGTAGCTCTCCAGGGTTCTTTCACTCGTCTGGCCAAGTTGCATATGAAGGAATGACGAATATACAGTTAATTCTAGCAAAAATTGCAGTCCCTACATGAGGAATTGTAGTCTCTCTGTGGAAAATCAGTCCTGTGAACATAACTCTCTTCCTACTTTGGTGCATTTTGACTTTCCTTGAATTAGTATTTCCGACAATGGCTTCTTTTTGTGTGTCTCTCTTGCTCCAGTCCTTCACCTCTTTTGGCTTTGGAGACAATGGCTTCCACATGTCCTTCGGGATCGGCGCCTTCCCTTTCGGACTGTTTGCATCCACATTCAATATCGGCGATGGACGCCCACCCCCAAGTGAGTTCTTCTGTCGCTCACCTTTAGAGTCACCTTTTGACGCATTACAGTGCAATCCGCCTATAACAATAACGAGAAAACCCGAAAATTCAGTCGTTATAACTGATTATCGTTGTCCAGAAACTCTAGAAACTGATGGTTATAAGCAGTAGATCGATATGTGTGGTGTTGTTTGTAGGTTTCCCCTTTAGGGATACCATGTAGAAACTCAATAGGTTCCTTGGGTTCAGGTAATGACATGCTTTATTCACGGATGCGCCACACGTTCATCCGAGGGCCACCAAAATCTGAAATAATGGCACTGTCTCTGTTGACTGTATCACCACTCGGTGTCCGCGCTGTCTCTATTGACAGTGAAAAGTAAAAATGAGAAAGGAAGTCTCGATCGTGTAGATCCTCCCCCAGCGAGAGTAGTTCCTGGGCCATTGGTCTGGCCGTCTTATAAACTCTGTAGGAATGGAAGCAACGGCCGGGGTGGTCGGAAGTAGGTTGGCACCCTTTAGGGGCGGACGCGACCAAGTATGAAGGGCCTGAGGGGGCAGATCACCCGAGAAGGGCGAGGGAGAGCTGTTCACAAGGGAATACGGCCTCGCCTCGCATCCGGGACGCGCCCCGACACAACGGTGGCTCACGGCCTGCCTGAGCTAGGCCTATATAAGGATGCAGGGAACATGTGGTTCCCACGCCTTATCAGTGGATTGCACTGTAGCAAGATGTTGCAGCCAGGTCTTGTTTAGAGCGAGACTCCTCGATCCATCACATTGAGGGATAAACCCTCAATTTGAGGCACTTTTTCTCCTCAACTGAAATGTTTACTCTTCGAAAGCGACACTGATAGACTGAACTAGAATTGTTTTTTTTTCTAATAGATAGAGAAACCTTCCTCTTTACAAAGCAGTTCGAAAATGTCACAATATTTGTCTCGAGATCTGTTTGGAATGTCATATATTCCATTCCTCCCACCATCCAAGAGTGACTATTTTCAAGAATCTTTGTTCTCGAGATTGATTTGCGGACTGACGCATGGTTAGACCAGTGGGAAGGTGCATGCTGTCGATGCTGGTTGCAAGCACGTCCTTGGGATGACAGTGCAGAAAGCACATACTGTGCCCTGGGCATAAACTTCGGTGACTTTTGTCACTGCAATGATTGAATTCGAACCTCGAGCCAGATGTCTGCTGAGACGTTGATTGTAGCAGAGTCCAAGCCGAGCACTCATGCAGTGTTCGAGTTCAAACTATGTGTCGCATTCGGCATTGTCACTCTGCGGTGATTCCCACGACTGGACCAGCAAGCTCTGCGAAGCTAGGACAGGTTAAAATAAACTGACTGTTTCTATTTCTTTAGATTACACAGCAACAAAGAAGATCCTTGCTCGGTGGCCTTTACATATTAGCACGCTTATCTCGCTCGTGTCAGTGTTTGAAACATGCAAGGTCTAAGTCTTATCACAGTTTTTTTAAAGGAGAGAGTCAAGATACAGTCGACTCTCATTAATTCAAACTTGCGGATAATTCAAACCAACACGCTGGTCCCATCCTATGCGTCTCTCTGGGAGGAAACTCCTGGTAAGTTAAGCTTTGCTTTATTCAAACAAATTTTTGGTCCCCTTTGAGTTTGAATTAATGATATTTGACTGTACTTGTGTTGGCTGGAGCAGAGTTTTCTCGGTAACAGACTAATTAGTGCCACACTAGGGTATTGAATCCACTATGGTCTTACAGGAAGGAATGAGGCAACAGCTTCAGATAGGGAGCAAGGGTTTCTAAATGGATGGTGTTAAACTCATGTACGATACAGACTTTAGTGCTATCTGCACCCTACCCTCTTTTTTTAGTGCAGGGGTTCTGAAACATTTTATTTATTGATTACTTTTATCTACCCTTTGCCCTTTTCTGCCTCCTCTTATGGCAAGGAAAGTCATTAGTTTGAAGCCAAGTGTCATTTGAACCCAATGTGTAAGGCATGAGTGTTGACTTAAGCCTTTCTCTGTGGGTTCCTTACAGCACAGCTACATGGATGGGATGGCTCATTAGGGAGTGTAAGGAGACCAATCCAATGACTTCGTTAACGGTACCCGATACTCCACCGGCACCTTTGCACATTCACTGTATCATGATCGGCTATCGTCATCGGAGTTGTTGGAACGGTCTACTAAAGTTCTCTGTTGTCTCTTTCTGTTTTTCGTGCCTACGTATGCGACACATTCAAGAGCATAGCCTTCTGCCTATTTCTCAGACCGTATGATTTTGTCCTCTTTTCCATTGCAGCCATGGGTAGCCAGGAGCACCGCCAGGACCAGATAATCTCCCAGGTGTTCCTATGGGTAGCCTGCATCTTCCTGGTGTGGCTGGTCATCGCGTGATGCGCAGGGACGACCTACGACATGCAATTGGGACTACCATCGTACTCTTACGCTCCTCGAATGACGCCCCTCCCCCTCCTGCCGAGGTTCCACTTTACTTTCTGGGATCACAACGCACTCTCTTTCTCCTCTCTTGGAAGCCAGGGGGGGGAAGGAGGGGAAGCTGGACGTTGTCTTTTAATACCAACCTTTCTTTCTTCCCCTCCTGCATATGTAGCTCCTGACTGGCTAGTCCAGAGATCCGTCGTCCCAGTCAACGTGACCTTTCGCACCGGCGGCAAGATTCGAACGCAGCGTAGTAGGACAGGCTGATGCTACGGCAATGTATTCTCGTTTTTGCCTGCACTGTTTTTAGTTTGTTTTTTGGCCCTCTCGGAGGCACAGAGGAGCAGAGGTCCAACAGGCTTCATGCTCAAGCGGCGACATGTTTTTGTAATGACACGCAACATTGTCTTTTTTTTTTCTATAACATGAGATGATGACGATGCAATTTAACGTCAAATCTTTTTCGCTCGTCTTGTTTCTTTTTTTTTTTCTTTCTAGAAAGTCGATTTATATTTCTTCTACTTTTGTAGGAGCATTTGTAACTCTTGGTCTGTCGTCGTCATTACTAACATTCCCTGTGGAGTGATGAACAAACGCAGCATTGTTTGGGATAGCCTCTCGATTTTATTCCTTCTACTTGCGACCTGCTACGTAAGAAGGCTCGGGTTTCCAATAGGAGAGTTTGTTTGGCTCTTGTTTTCAGAGTAGGCGGTTGTTTGGTCGCCCACATTATATAAGCACATGTTCTTTTGTGTACCTGTTGTGTTTTGTTGGTCATTTGTTTCTCTCTGTGCGTGTGAGTGTGTGTGTGTGTGTGTGTGTAAATAAACAGGCATTGCATATTTTTCTCAGAACTAGCATGGCTCATCATGATTCACTTTGCCATTGTCTTCATTGCCAAACGGACCCTACAGCCAGCAACAGAAGAGTCTTCCTTTGCTGCACATTTTGGAGCAAGTTCCTCGGGCGATTTTTAGAGGACATGTTTACTGATGAATAGATGATAGATTTTCCGGTATGCAACGAAGAACTAATGCGCCTTGCAAGTGGGCGCATTTCGGTCTCTGCGCATGGGAAAGGAGGTGTGAAGGTGGGAGAGGAGGTTATAGTAAGTTTCGCTTCCTCAAGGGGGGAAAGGGGGTCGCGGATGTAAACATCTCGGCGTCGGCAATGGCGGACGTGCTGTAGCAGTTGTGGCTGCAGCCGTGGGTCCTTCGCGTGGTTGCTGGTTAAAAAAAAGAGAAAAGAACGTTCCACTTCTGTCCTGTGTGATTTAGAGGTCGGCTCCGATCAGGCGCTGTCCAAGGGACAGTGCTACCAGGGGAAATGAAAACGTGCTGAGTCTTCGGATGTGGTGGGCGCACTCACGATGGTGTTTCGCATTTTAAATTTCTGGGAGGATTGACAGATTGAGAGCTCTTTCTTGATTCGGTGGATTGTTGTGCATGTCCGTTCTTAGTTGGTGGAGCGACTTGTCTGGTTAATTCGGATAACGAACGAGACTAGCCTATTAAATAGGTGCATAATTCTCTGCACCTTGCACCCTTCTTGGAGGGACAAGCAGCTCCTAGCCGCACGAAACAGAGCAATAACAGGTCTGTGATGCCCTTAGATGTCCGGGGCCGCTACACTGAAGGAAACAGCGTGGTGTATCTCTGTCTGTTAAAACAGTAAGCTTAGAAAGAAGTGACGAGCAAATACAGGGCTAATTGAAGTCCATCAGATTACCCCCGAGCAAGAATAAGCTCTATAAAATTTCTTCTATAAAATTTCGCCAAACATAAAAACAATAATTCTTGGTGTCAACGAGCCTATGACATTACTTCCGCGATACGCTCGACGCCGTACACAAAAGGAGGGAACTTGTGGACGCTAACCGTCCGATCGTTCTCGGTTGTTGGCAAACAAACCTCGGCGCGTCGGCCGCCTCGCCCGTGAGTCCTTTGGCTTCGCTCCTTGATACGTGTCTGCTAGTTGTTAGACAAGAACACATCGTACCGCTCGAGGTTGGGACTGCAAGCCTCCGTGGTATGGGCATCACTGCCTTTTGCGACCCTGTGCGCCTGGATAAACCCATCCAAAGTACGAATAAACAATTAATATTAGTATTTTGTTTGCCCTCTCTGAAAGGCGAAGTCGAGCTCGCTCGTAAAGGTAAGACAGCTGTTGAATAGCAGACGACGTTGCAAAGGAGCAGACTACGCTTAGATAGTGGGTCTCGGCGACCCACAATCTCCACTCGAGCCAATCGTTGCTCGGCGTTCTGACGTCACCGCAACCCCTGCGCAAGAAGCAGACGAACTTGCCCTCTGCATAAACACTCGTCAGTGGCAAAAACAAAATTGGCTAAAACCGAAAAAAGAAATGTTTAAAAACCCTTATGTATGTATGTATGTATTTCTGGCGGCATTTGCCCTTTTTAACGAGCGTCTATAAAATAGACATGCCATTAAAGAAAAGAAGATAAAGAGAAAGATAATGAAAAGGAACTAGAAAGTCTGAGAAATGGTTCGTAGGCACTCTGAAGTATCACGAGTGGACTTTCCACCATGCCTCGAGCCTCCTCTTTGAGCACATCACCATGTTTGTTCTCCTCCGTAAAACCGAGGGCCTGCTCAATGCGGGTGCCGACGTCTGTCGCAGGTACGATTGCCGGACACTCAAGGAGCAAATGTTGGATAGTTTCTTCTACCTTACCACATGCACTGCACACGGTTTCGGTCACGTTCACATCGTACCGATGCCTGTAGATGCGGGTGCGTAAGGCACCACCGCGGGCCTCGGCAAGGAGTCGGCTGCCCAGTGTGTTTCCACAGCAGCGGACGGCAGCGATGTTGGTCTTGAAAGTCGCGTATAGGTGCATGCTGGAATGTTCTTCCATGCCGGCTCTCCACCGATTCGTCTCGGCGGTGTTAATTTGTCCTCTCACCTTCGCAAACCAATCTTTCTTTGTAGAGGGCTCGTCGCTCATCGAGAAGGCGCCGTACTTTGTCCCAAGTCGATTGGTATACGCCTCCTCCATGTCGTGTGTAGGTTCTTTAAATGAATGTATAAAAAAAAAACCTTCGTGCCCAGCGATCTTTGTCCATATGTCGCAGTCGGGCGTAATACTCCAGCTTGCTGCTGGCCTCCCGTGCCTCAAACGAGGACCAGCCAAGGTAACCTTGTACAAGTTGATTAGGCACTCTCCCGTGACATCCCAGCGCCTGGCGCCTGATCTCTTTGTCGTCGCTCAAGGTATTCCCTAATTTCGCTGGGGACAGATGTAACAGGATTGGCGAAAGTGAGGCCTGGTACAGCGACAGCTTTCCACAGTTCCCGGGTTATTAAATAACGGTCGCGGCTCCACAGGCTCTTTCGACGAAGCACATTGCGCTTTCTCAGTGCCGATGTCTTGAGGTTTTGGTGGTGTTCTGCCAGATAATCTGCTGAAGTAGTTAGTGATATAACCCCGAGGTATTTGTACTTGGTACTAACAGGGAGCACAGCGTTCTGAATGGTAAGGGATTCAAGGCTCTCCATGTCTCCGGAGAAAAGCACAATTGCCGACTTTTTGGCATTGAACCGTAGTCGAAGTCGAGCCGCTTCTGTTTCACAGGCGATGAGCAGCACATTCATGTCTGGCACGCTATCAGCCATAAGGACAATGTCATCTGCAAAAGCGAGTCCAGGAAGCCGCCAATTGACGACGTCTCCATGCAGAGTGTGTTGCAGGGAAAAGCCAACGCCCGTGCGTTCTAGTATGTGTAGAGCATGTAAAGAACCGGTGACAGCGGGCAGCCCTGACGTAGTCCTCTGCACACCAGAGCGTCATTAGAGGCGACCTCGTTGAACGTTGCCATCACGTGATTGCCATCATATAGTCGTTGTATTAAGCCTACCCAGGGTTCAGGCATGTTGAGCTGTTAAAGTTGTTTTAGCATCAAAGAATGGGGGACACTGTCATATGCCTTAGCAACGTCAAGACAGCAACAGATGAGATTCCGCTTTTCCACCCGCGAGATCTCTATGCACTGCGTCAGGATGAATACGTTGTCATCAAGCCGACGATCTTTTCGAAAACCGTTTTGTAGTTCCGTGAGAACACCAGTACTCTCGGCCCAATAGGATATGCGCAAATTGAGAATGTTTGCAAACAGCCTGTATGCCACAGCTGTGACAGTGAGAGGGCGATAGTCACTCAATCGTTGTTTGTTGCCTCCTTTCTTGGGAATGAACATGACTCGACCACGTCTCCAATCACTGGGAACTGGATCCTCTCCGCGAACTATGCGACTAAATAGGTGCGCCATTTGATCTCGTGAATCTGATTTCAAGCGCTTCAACACCTTAGCCGAGATTCCGTCCAAGCCCTGCGATGTATTCGCGTGTAATCTCGTGAGTGCGCGATTTATATGCACCCGCCTCACAAGGGTTACATATTCATCTGTAGAGGCCATCGATGGGAACGCTTCGTTGGGCCAGACTTGGTCATGTCTGTTTTCTGCAGGAATTTCCACATCAGAGCCAAACAGAAGGTAGAGTTGTTGCTCAAGCAGTTCTCCAACACTTTGAACTGGGCCTCCACTGTTATAATCAAGGAGTTGAGGAGCACTGTCTTTGCCATCTAGAGATCTCATATATCTCCAGAATTTTTATACAGCTTCTTTTCCGCCATCTCTAATCTCCGCCATGACCTTGCATTCGTGTGTTTGTTTTTTTTGCGTCCACAATGTCTTGCGTGATTGCCTTGTTCTTTCGGTACTCTTCCCATAGTCGTAAAGTAAAAGGACTCTTCCCAAAGGTCTTTACCGCTTGTCTGTGTCGCCGGTTAGATTCCTGTCGCATTTGAATATCTTGTTTAATTTCAACATCCCACCATGGAACAAGGTTTCGTTTTCCTCCCGTCTTCTTTACGATGGAGTGCTTAGCAATGACTATCCTAAGCTCGGTTGCAAAATCATCATAGCTGCGGGCTTGCGCACGTTGAGTACTCTCTTCAAAATTTTGGACAACAATATCTATGTCTTCTTCGCGCAGTAGGGTTGTAACCTTGCGCGGCGTGCAGTTCCGTGTTTTTCCAACAGTACCAAAGTGCAGGAAGATGCTGTTGTGGTCGCTGCTGACACTGCACTCGCCCTCTTCATCCACAACCATTTTTTGAAGACGCCTGCCAAGTCTGCTTGACGCGAGTGCATAATCTATGCAGGTCCGATGGTCTCGCACTGTCCATGTATATTGTCCCTCACACTCTTCCCTGAGGTTCAATATTTCCAGATCGACATCCTCTGCCAATTGTCTCATCATCCTGCCGTTGCAATCTTCCCGCATGTCTAATTCAACCAGACGTAAGCGCCAACTACGGGGGGGCAGTGGGGCTCGTGCCCCCCCCGGCCGGCTTCACGGGGGGGCAGAGCCCCCCCCGGCCCCGGCCCGGGATTTTTTTTAAAGAGCTGGGCTTGGGTCTGCGCCCATCGACAGTGGACTGTTGGCCGTCCTGACTGGCAGCTATTTCACAGGGGCCTGTTTATTCCCGCTTCTTATTTCCTTTCAGGCTTTTAAATGGTGGATCTCGGGACAGTGACAGGTCAGACATTCAGTGGAAAATTCCCCTCAGACGGAGTTAGATGCGCGGAATATGTTGTCTGAATGAACAGCTGAAGTGCCCGCTTCAGCTATGACAGGCTAAAAAAAGTCTTGAAAGCGTCGCGACATCTCTGTCGGTTTTTAGACAACAAAAATGCTTCTGAGAATAGGAAGCATCCCCGACACAGTGCGTCAGTGACTGATTCTGCAGACCTGCTCGCCAAGAAAAAAATTTTAATTTCTTGCGCGTCTACAAATGAATGCCCTTTCGGCCAAGAAAATATTGTAC